GGTAGTAGTGTGTGTGTGTGTGTGTGTGTGTGTGTGTGTGTGTGTGTGTGTGTATGCGTATGTGTACGAACGCCGCAATCGCAGTGTGCGTGGGTCTACGCAAGTGCAAGAAATGGCATGAGCCACTCGTAAGGGACCCCCTGTTTGCACCTACCTTCTCTCGCCTAACTCATTCCCATTCCCGCAATTCAACCACGTACGCTCGTTCCCATGTGCCATGTAAGGTCTACACAAGCCCGCCCTTTGCTGCGCGTGCCTTTATGTGGCTGCTCCGTCCCTTACAAAAGCAGAAGAAATAAAAATAAATCCAAAAACAAAAACAAAAAAGAAAAAAAAACAACTGTTGTTGTTCTTCTCTAAGCTTTCACTTCTTTTTTTTTTTCCTTTCATGTTATCCCCCCTCCCCCGCTGTCTCCTGCTGTATGCGACCATGTATACGTATGCACATGCCACTTCCGGTGGTAGGCACCGCCCTTCATGTACTTAATTTTCCTTCTTGTGCGACAACGGAGCCACACCGCCATGATAATCCAAAATGCATGCGTTGCCTATGCTAACAGCAGCCCTCGGGACCCAAGGAGGGCACAGAGGCGAATGATGCTCGTCAACAGGAGCAGTGAGCCCAACTGATGCGTCGTGGCAATTGGCACATCCACGTAGGAGACAATGGTCCAAATGCCCAGCCCAACCTGCAGAGCCAGAATGCCGTTGACAGGCATCAAGCCACGTCGCAGCATCTTTGGTAGCACTGCACCGTGGCGAAGGCAGGCTACATTCAACCCCAAAATAGAAGCAGTGCTAGCAGCAGCCATCAAGCGATGCCAGGTTTGCGCCGCCGCTGGGTTTTCAAGGGCGTTGCGCCACCAGGGCTCCACCGTGAAAAGGTGATCGCGGGGAGGCACAAGACCGCCGCCCATCCAAGGAAACTCGTTGTTGTACATGAGACCTGCATCCAACCCCGCAACAAAAGCTCCCGAGACGACGGTGCAAAAAACAACGGCGAACGAGAGTCGGGACCAACACTGAATAACGGTTTTGCCTTGGAATTCACCCAGATGTGGAAGTTTCAAGCCAAATCCAACACGCATCATACAGGAGTATATCACAAAGGCCAACACCAAATGGGCTGCGAGGCGGTAGGCTGAAACAGTGGCCTTCCGCCGCTCCTCCAGCAGCCGTGGGTCAAGGCCGCTGCGAACCATGTACCACCCCATTGCCCCTTGCGCCCCACCCAGCGCAAGAATCCCGACAAGGGCGGCGGCGAGTGCGTTGTGCCCCTTGAAACGGCCTTTGCATAGAAAGTACATCATGGGAACTCCGTAGACAAGTCCAAGACTGCGCGCCATGAGTCGATGGGCCCATTCCCAGAAGAAAATAAATTTGAATTCCTCCATAGTCATACTGTCCTTCTGCTTAAACTCTGGAAAGTTTTGGTACTTGGCAAACTCTTCCTCCCATTCCTGACGTGTGAGGGGCGGACGAACGCCCGTCACGGGCTTCCAGTCCACGATGCTCAGCCCACTCTCCGTGAGGCGAGTAACACCGCCAATGACGACGACGCCCCCCACCAACGCCGCCGAGCAGTACAACCAATGTGCCACCGCCCTGTTGGTGGGGGGCGCAGTCCAGGCCGCCTCCGCAGTGGCTGCAACGGTAGACTGGAGGCGGTGTTTGAAGCGAAGCAACCAAGGCATCCCTGTACCGCTCGTTTGAAACGCACACGACCTGAAGCGCAGCATTTTTGGTCCCGTGTAATTCCGTCTTTTTCGTTGTTGCTGTTGATGTTGTTGTTTTTTTTGTTTCTGTGTGTATGTTTGTTTAGAAGAAGTGTGTTCGGTTAGCTCCTTCTTTGTCGCTATGAGTGTTGCCGCCTTTGCTTTGCTTTGTCTTGCCTTCCTCACCCCTTTGTTTTCCTAACGTGGACCCTGCCTGCGTAAAGTGTGCCTGCGAGTCGGTCAGCTTTTGCTTTGTATTGGTCTATTATTTAGTTATATATGTATTATTATTATTATTGATTATATATAATAATAATAATAATAAGTATGTGTATCTGTGAAGCCTGACAACAAGAAATGGGGGAAGGTGCACGCAGCACAGGCGGTGACGGAAAGAATGAGTGCAGATGCGTGCCGTACAGGTGACATCAACACCGACGGATGCGTGCGTGTGGCACAGCAAAAAAGGAAGGGGGGGGGGGGGCAACGGCAACACCATATATATATATATATCACAGAGAGAGACCGTGACCGAAAAAGGCAGTCACCCGCACCGACGTAGCAGAAGTGAAAGGTAGTAGTCGGTATGAACCGAGGTGTCCCGCCCATGCTGGGTGTGGCGGTGGCCGCTCCCTCACGGTGGCGCCACACCACGCAGGGGAGTG